AGAAAATGACATTTGTTTATTTCCTTTTCTAACCAGGTACAAAGAAATTACCAAAACTCTGTTATAAAGCATACTAGGTATACCAAGTGTATACAGCAAATTGGAAGCCTACCATTAATTACACAAATTAGCAAAACCAGACGTACATTTTTTCTGTACGTCCGTCACTGTACGTCCGTCACACTGTGTAAAATGTGTTATAACCTATGAAATATGGTGAAAATTTGAAAACTGTCAATGTGTCATATGTCTGTAGTTACAGTAGACTACATGTTGTGCACAAAACATAATACAACATGGACAATTCTGGGTATGAGCCCCATACTGGAGTTTCTGGTCGAGATCAATTTAGGCTTACATAATTTTCCTCCCTGAAACACATTTTGTCATTGTTATCAAACAGTGTGCAATATGCACATATTTTCAGTACCAATTGCTTACATTACAAACAAAAAACAATTTTGAACTAAAATTTTAAGCAAATATCTAATAAGAACAAACCAGTCAAGCAATACACAAATTACATAATAATGTTATCATCTTGACTAACACGGCTACTCTATCTACTTAATCATAACAATGTTCTGTAATTACAATTACAGCTAACATATGATTATATTATTTTTTTATATTCAAATTACAGGATATTATTATAATGTAAGATAAGACACCTTATTTAGCATGAGTAACCATACAGTCATCTTGATTAACTACAATTACTATGATTTTTTCTTGTATTGCAAAAATGTTGTTCTATACATTACAGGTGTATGATAATCTCTAATTCCAGAACCTTTAAAATCTAAACTTGCCCATTGCAGGATTCTTTATACAATGAAGAAGTTAACGCCAAAAGCTAGGACTTGGCTTAATAGATCTAGTACAGTACAGTATACACATATTCTTTCACTAGTTTAACTGTCTGCATTAATTAATAATTTAATTTAATTTTGGGAACCAAATAATCATTTTTCCTGGTTACAAATTTAGATCCAACTCCTTTATAATCTATTTACATGAATGTTCTGAACAAATT